TTATTTTGCATAATTAGCACCGCTTTGCCCAGGGTATCGTCAGCCCGACAGGTTCTCAGTTTTCACCTCTTCTTTTTCTTTCTATCCTCCTCTCATGTTCGCCTCGACTTTGTCTTTCTCGTTCCTCCCTCTCCCAATCGATATCGAATCTCTTATCCTCTTATTCATTTCCTTTTCGAAAAAGTAGATACGAGAATTTTTCTTTTTTTTCCTTCCACGCAAAATTTCGAAGTTTCGAATCGATCGAAGTCTCGTTGGTATTCATACATTCGTTAGATATCTTTGGAGAATAGATTCCAGAGAGATACAAAATATAACGCGTATAAAAGAAATAATTCATTTGAACAAACGTTCGTTCGGAAATAATTCGTGTGATCGACTTTCGCATTATCGATTAAATAAGACGTATCGGGGGACGATCGATGAAAAATCGATCGATTTATCAATTAAACGCGAATCGAGCAACTTGTGCACGTACGAAGGTAACATTTTTCTTTTCGCATTTTTCGTTCGTTTCAACGATCGCCATGCGCGTTTTGTACGCGTAACGAGCACGTAATTATAAGTATATATATATATATACTTATGTATTTATATTTATATTCGAACAACATTTATATCTTATTCCTGCAACTCGTTAACTCTCGTCAAGTTCTCCTCGAGAATAAGATCGAATAAACTTCCACCTTTCTCTTTATTTCCCTTTCCAATTCCGCTGTAATTGCGCGCTTGCTTCTCGGCCGGTAGATGGCCACGTTAATGAACGCGTCGCAAAGTGGAGCACGACCACACATCTCGTTCCCATCCTATAAAAAAATAACATTAACTTGTTACACTAATTTCTCGATTATCGAGCCTCTCGAGTAGTATTCGGAAATCGGATTCGACCCGAATAATTCGCGTTTAAGAAAAATGCTCGAGAAATTTTTCTTCGAATGACCGAGGTGGTTGGTACAAAGTTAACGGTAAATTGGTTTCCTGGTCGATCGTGAGTCGTGAGCTGCCGAATTTTGTCTCGGCCGAATCGACGAAAAGGCGGTTGGCTGGTTGGTTAAGAGGAAGTCTGAAATTTGGCCGGGGCCCTCAGTTCGAAATTAGTATTCATTAGGGGAGCAAGCGAGATTTTCGACGAGTCATGTAGAAATAATTAAGGTAAGTGTGGGGTCCGCGGTACACGCTCGCCTAATGGCCCCCTCTCGCTCTCTCGCTACCTTTCCACCCCGTTCCTCTTCTTATTCCTACTCTTCGCTCTCGTCCATACCTTCTCTCCTCCAATTTCGATTTCTCTTTCGCACCCAGTCATTATTACTTTTATCCTCCGATCCTTCCTCGCTTCCTCCGTTCTCGTTAATCCTTCCACCGCAAATTTAACGAATTTTCCGCTTTTCATTTTCTTCTTTTTTTTTTTTTCAATTTTGAGTCGATTTAAGACAATCATCGACACGCTTACTCGCGATACGGGGAAATAAAAATAAAATTCCGTCCCTCGGATTCGCTCTCTTAAAATCGTAATTAAGATTTATGATTTATATTCGATAATTTGGAACAATACAACGACGGGTCGATTATCGATCGAGACTGTAAATTAAATTTACGAAACGGTACGTACGTAACGTGAGAGATGGGAGAGATTTAATAAGGGGAGTAATAAGATGATTCGCACGATTCATAAAATAATCTCGTTTCCCAATCGTATTTCGGGCCGCGCACAATTATTCGCCTCTTCCCCAAACTGTTTCGAACGCTTTCTCTTAATTATCTTCACCGTCTTTCGCTTTCTTTCACCGCGTTTTGTTTCGCCGCGCTCCAAATTACCGATACCCTTTGTACTATATACCCGCTTGCACACCGCGTTCACCCAACTTTTTTCCACGCGGCCAAATTTTTGCTCATTTATTTATTTATTTCGCCGCTGAATATTATATATTCGACCCTTGCCGAAATGAAACGTTCATCCATGCTCGACGAAAAGGCTTGTTTACGACGAAGCTCGTGCTACGAATTATTGCGTTATGTAAATGAAACACGTGCAAAAGGAGAATAGGAGAAAAGGAGGGGGGGATGAGGGAGTGAAATCGCGAAGACGGTTCAACGAAATATTCGCGTGTCGTTCCTCTACTCATACGTTCGAAATACTTCTCCTTCGATTGGTCCCAAATTCCTCTCGAATCTTGTCTAAAGGATTGAAAAATCGTTCGAGTTCAATAAAATAGAAAAGTTCGCGTGGGAACGAAGATATTAGATTTTTACTTTTCCTCTTCGTCGCGTAACAAGAATTCGGAAGATTCTCTTATTTTTTTGGGAGGAGGGGGCGGGGAGGTGGGGAGGAGAGGAGAGTAAAATTAACGATCGAGGAGATATGTTGGCGGTCGAAATGTTATTAGGGCAAGTAGAAAATTTTATTGCGGTTTGGTCTCGTTTCGAAAAGATATAAAAAAAAAAAAAGAAAGAAAAAATGATTCGCCGGTTGGCGGTGACCGGTTGGATATAAACTGCACCGCGGAAGTTTCTTCGATCTCTTTTATTTGTCCTCGCTCGAATTTCTCTCTCTCTCTCTCTCTCTCTCTCTCTCNCCTTTCCATTTCTAACATACCTCTTGCGGCTCGAACGAATTTTCTTCCACCGAAATTTTCTTCGATACGATTTTCTTTTATTATTCAGACTTCTCTCTCTCTCTCTCTATTTCCTTTCGACACGATCTCTTTCATCGTTGAAACTTCTCTTTCTATTTTTTCTCGACTTCTAACGCATCCTTGCATCTTTTGTGATCCGAACGAATTTTCTTCGATATTTTTTACCGAAATTTTCTTCGATTCTCTCTCTCTCTCTCTCTCTCTCTCTCTCTCTC